CTGGAGGGCTGCGGCTACCAGGCTGAGGGGGGCTGGGGCTGCCTGGGCTACACGCTGGTGAGGGAATTCAGCAAAGACCTGTGAGGCTACAGGCTGACAGCCAGGGCAGGGAAGGAGGGAGGGGCGCCAGCACCTGAAGAGCGCCTACTGTGTGCAGGTACTTTTACGTGCTCTCCCTCGGTGAGTCCTCAGCCACCCAGGGCCCAGAAACAGAGGCCTGCCGAGGGGAGGAGCCTGGCCTGTGCCCGGCAGTCGGCAGTGTGAGGTCTGGAGTGTTTGAGCTTCTAAGAGTGCAATGACTCCTTTTCCTTCCTGGCCCTCAGGGGCCTCTCGAGGTCAGCCTCTCCAAAACCCCTACCTCAGCTCTGTCTGCACTGAGAAATCTCCCCGGTGGATGTCTGCAAAGTCTGCGCCCCAAGCCTGGGAGAGCTATCTGGGGAGGGGGAGAGGAGGCCCAGCAGAATATGCCCTCGAGTTAGGGTTTGCGACTCCGCCTCCCTGGGACCCGGATTGGGTCAGATGCCTGTGCTTGGAGGGGACAAGGTTGACTGCTTAGCGGGCGCGGTGCACAGGGCTGCCAGGCCTGGCCCCTCTCCGGGAAGGTCGGTCGAGAGCTGAGATGGGCAGCCCTGTCCCTTCCCCCAGACCCGTCTGGTTTTTTACACCGTTTGTTAATAAAGCCTGGAACCGCTGTGTGCCTGTCTCATCTCTGATGCCTTTCCCAGTCTGTCTCCGGACACCCCCCGCCCATTTCTGTCTGGCTCCTCCTTTCCCCAGTTAACATTAATTGTTGGGGGGCGGTGCTGGACTGGGAGAAGGGGAGGCTGTGAGCTCAGGGGCAGCCCTGGGCCCTGCCAGCCCTTCTGAGTCACGCTCCCTATTACCGAATTTTTTCCACCTCACAGCTGCCTGGTGTGCAGGGAGTGGGGTGTGTGTGAGTGTGTGGAGGAGTGTGTGGAGCCCCTCCCCTTCCCAAGCCTTGACCCTTGTGCTGCTTATCCCCCGACCCCAGCTCCCTCTGGGACGGTGAAGTTCAAACTCTCCTCTCTCACACTCACATCCACCAGTGACGGGGAGGACTGGAGGGACGGGTCTTTCAGTCTCTTTTCCTAACCCAGGAAGTCCCTCCTGGTGTCTGGCTGCAAATCTTCTTGCTGCTGCACCAAGAGCCCCTGGGTCTGCCCAAGCCCCAACCCTAGCAGCAGTCTCAGTGGATTTCCCTGACCAGACAAGAGAGGAGACAGGTGGGCACCCTCTCCTGCTCATACTGCACCCCCACGCACACGTCCCCCAGCCCCTGTCCTGCGCCTTCCTGCAGCCAGCCACCCCCTGAGCATCTCTGAGCACAGCACTTCGCTGGCTGCAGCATGCCTGGCCGTCGTCTACGTCTCCCGTGTGGGTGTCTGCAGTTGGACACCCTC